ATAATCAAAAACGGACATTCGCATTTTCAGACGTCTTAAACTTTGAGCATTTTTCCCACCCCTCCAGCGCCCTTAATTAAATGCCGTTTTCTCATGAAGAAAATATGTCTGAATAATTTTATCGAACAGAGTTCATAAATCTAAGCCATAATAGGCGCTCTGGTGTTTTCGGGCAATTTCTTACGCTAGTGTCTGTTATAGACTTCGTTTGCGCATCTGAGCGTGTTTTTGCACTTAAGTATTCTAATACACAGGGCATGCCGCACTTGGAATTGTTTTTTTCCCGACGCTAATCAAAGCGACCAGTTTGCTAAATGCACAGGTTATTTTTTAGTGAACTAGTTGTTTTATCGATGTCTAGAAGTCAGTTTAATGAATTTGCGCGATTTTATGCTCTACAGTGCAGCAATAAAACATTCAGGCAGTGTTTTGTCTAAATGGGCTAGGTTAGTTTGCCATTTAGAAAACTGTACGGGTGGACACCAAAATGACTATCAATGAATAGTCACCTTCGGTTTTAAACATATAAGACGTTACTTTTTGTGCATGCTTACCTCAAAATACGCGTAATTTTGAAATGGATCACGCAGAGCGTTGACAGTTTTAGCAAAATATCTGTATATATATGGCCAATCTGCATAAATTCAAAGTCATAGGATGGAGCCAAAAAGATGCCAAATTTAGTTGAAATGGCCGTTATATAGAGAGGAAAACATGGTCTTACGTTATCAGTAGAAACATGTCAGTAAATTATAGAAACGTAAAGGAAACGAAAAAAAGTTTTAAATTCATTTTTTGGCCTCATCGTGCTAAAATATAAAGTACACGGACACTCGTCAGCGAAATGCTGTATTAAAGCACTTTGTAAAAAGCAACTTACTTGAGAAAGTTGTCTAAGCGATCCAAAGCATATTAGTTGTTGACTTTTGTTATGGACGTTCGTCTTTTTGAAAATGAGGTTTTATGTATGGGTAAGTCTTCAAGTATGATACAAACGACCATCTACACAAAAAAGAAAGCCTAAAAGCACACTGCATCGGTAAAGTCCCCGAAAAAAACCAATTTCTTAGGTTTTAATAAGCACACTCCAGAACATGCCTTTATGGGCAGTCGATTAAGGACACTGAATCAATTAGCAATATCGCAAGGTCGATCTGAAACGCAGCGTAATTCTAGACAAAATAAAAAGGGAAAGAAATTTCAACTAGGAAACGTTCTCTTTATGTACAAAAATGGTATGTATATATCTACGTCAGTTACTTTTTATTCAAATGTTTGGCCTGACAACATGCGCCTTCATGAAAACTTTTATTTCCATGAAGCCCCATTGGTCTGTATCTCAGTCAATGCAAAAGCGTAAAATAAATAACGAATTCTCGGAAGCCGTTTTGGAATTCATAAACATAATGTCGGCTGTTAGCAGACCATCATACCTGATATAGAATAAGTATCAAAGGATTGTTTAGTGTGATCCTCATTTAAACACCACTATTAAACGATAGCCTCCTAATGTCGTAATATGTACTCTGTTTTCTTTCATTAACAACGTTTAATACATCTAAAACTGAAGTTTACACAATCACCACCATTTCGGACGTTTTCACAACTTTCCGCTTTTTCAAGAAGATTGGCATTTCTAAACAACGTAATACTGCCTATAATATTTCCTTTATGTTTTCGAATCCCTCAAGTTGTTATTTCATAATCTAAATATCAGGTTCACGCATTGGCGTTCGTAAATTTCGATGATTTTCATCTGTTAGATCTTTTACTGTTTTTGCCTAAAATATTAACCTTAATTTGCGAGACAGAGTCAAGACGCCCGAGCACAAATATGGCAGTTTAAGATGGGATTTACGGGAGGTAATTCCCAAAAGAGCCGTAGTTGGTTGGCTGCCGTCTGCTGTATCGTTTTTCAAAGCCTAACGCTCATTCAACCCTCTTCCGAAATTCCACATGACATCACGACTATTCACCATATCTGCGAGCCATACAAAGGACCGTGCAGCTCTCTTAGTTATCGCCTCAAATACTTACCAAGAGAATAAACATCGCCTGACTTCTTTGCCTCAATGAACACCACCAC